AAGCCATCTGTTGGTCCCTTCAACATCATTTCTGTTTGCTGTGTCTTAGAAGAGTCTATTTGACTTTGTAAAGGTAATAATTTGAATATAGCAAAGAGCAGTGCTTACAGAAACCTAATGCTATTGTTTGAATGTTACATAAAAGTCATGTTTAAGTAAGTGCAGGGTTAAAACCAACTTGGTTAATGTTCAAGAATCATCTGACTGCTTTTATAATACTTTCCAATCAGTCTGTGGATTAGTGTCTTTCTCTTCAAATGGACTCTTACCTTGAATGAGGAGGCTGTCTTTCCTCTATTACTTTTATTACTTTTTGATTATTTAGCACTCATTAAAAATAAGTTTCTGTGGGGCCAGCAGGTGGTATAGTGATTCAGGGGTCAGACTCCCACATAGCCACCCATGGGTTTGAGTCCTAAACCTGGTGGCTTAAAAATCATGCCAGGTACATGTGTGTGTGCCCAAAATTCCATGAGGAGAATAGAGGAGAAAGGATTGTGGTGTGGACATTTCTCCCCCACCCTGGGGAGGGAGGCATTCTCACTTTCCCTCTCTTTGTCTCTCTCCACTGAGTGCACATGTCCTGTGATAAAAACATTAAAAAAAAGTTATTGTATTCCATTGAAACAGGACACCTCTGTATAGTTCATTTCCATACACTAATAAAAATACAATTATTTTTATATAACTGAGTGGTAAGGTATTTAAAATATCCTTCAAATACTAAAATAATGGCTATAAAATTCAGGAACAACTTGCTGTGATAGAAAAGACAATGTATTATATTGTCAGTAGAAATAAATAAATAAATAAAATAAATCATAAAGCAAAGTTTAGTTCCATGGCGATTCAGAGTCTATGTTTTTCTGACATTGTGGTACCATGGCAACATCCCATGGTTTTTCACATGGCATGAGATAGGTTTTCTTCTATTTCACCCTCTTAATTTATAATAAAAAATGAGCACTACAAAAGAAATATTATAAAGACAGTGACTAAGTTATTAAAATGTGTAGCAGTTTTCCTTAATTAGTTAGACTGACTTCATTTGGATGGAGAATTATTACTTTAAAAATTTTATAATTATAATGGTTCATAATATGAATGATCATTTCCTAATTAATAAACAGATTTTATATTAAAACAGTGAGCTAGTAATAATCATATTTAACATTTAGCAAATAGATGTTAAGTGAAAGATTATGTTTTAATGTTTAAACTTAGTTAATCCTAATAATAATAATCTCATTCTCAGTATTATTGCCATTTTATAGATGAGAAGACTTTAGTACTGTGAGGAAATAAAAGTTTAATCAATGTCCTCATGAATATTAACTAGTGGAACAAAAATTCCAGCCATATAAAATGTTCCTCGAAAGATACATAATATTTTTTGCATAATAGGCCTTAAAATTTATAATGACAAATTTGGAATTGAAAAAAAGTCAGTATATCTTTATTATTTTAATTACTCTAAATTAATTATGACTATAATTATACTCAAATTTCTCTGTATCCCTTTGGTAAATATAATCTCATTAACTGTATTGAATTTTTTTAGATATAATTATTATATGTAATGACATTTTGTTTATACTATGATGGCAAATCAAAATAGCTAAAGAAAACTAGCTTTAAGCATTTAGAAGTAAATTATTTGAAAATTTGGCCATAATTTTGTTGGATAAAATCCACAATAACCCTCTTACAAAAGTTATCAAACATTAAATTATGATTAATTTTATGTTGTCCTGAATTATATCACTTTGCTAAAAAGCCTATAATTAATTCTAGCATAAACCTACAAAGTATATTAAATGTATTAAATATATGTTGTAATATATTTTGTAATTCACTCAACCAGAGCTAAGAGGTTAATGCAGTGGTTACTTTTTTATAGTAATGAATGTAGGACAATTTTGGAGTTCAAATCTCGAATCAAAACATGATTTTACCAGTCTGTTGTATTTATTTGAACAGATTATAATGACAGTTTACAGGATTTTTTGTATCCTTTTTCTATAGAGCATTACAGAAACTTTACTAATGAGGTCTAAATACATTTATATGCTACATGTCCTTTGCCTGAAGGCTGTCTCATTAAGGACACACTAATTTTTCCACTTTTTTCTTCAGCTTACATGTATGAAATTTTAAATAACAGGAAAATATAAGCTGATATATATGATATTTAGAAAATGTGTTTATATGTTGATTTGTAATTGCTTTATATTTATCTATGTCAGTTATGATAGCCTTTGGAATATATTGGCTTTCCTTGTCCTATGATTTCCTTGAAGGATCTCTAGTACTTATTACTTATGCACTTATTTATAAGAAAGAATAAAGAATCACATGTGTGTCTCATTTTTTTTTTTTTAAGCAGAAATTTAAGTTCATTTATGTAGCCATTGATTTTGCTGACTGGAACTAAAATTGGCACTATGGTCTGAGTAAAATTTTAGATATGAGAGATACTGGACAAATGAAAGCCCTTAAACCCAAGATTTCTCTGAAGAAATCCTGTACCAACTAAAAATTGATTTATGAACTAAATCAGAGGCCTTCCAAACAAAGTCTTGATGTCAATTACCTGGCTTCTCATCATCTAAGACCTAGGGGAAATTTGGATAAAGGATAAGACACTATTGACTCGCATTTGGAGAATGAAAGTGTTCTTGTTTTTATGTTCAATAATTCTATTTGCCATTTAAATAAGGATTTTCCCCCCACAATTTATGTAATATCTTCATAAGGAAAATTCATGCAACATGCAGTTTGTTGGAAATGGTGCCACAAGAAAGACATTACAGGCGTTAAAACATATAGTTCCTGGGACCAGCAGTTAGCGTAATGGCTATGTCGCTGGACTCCCAGGTAGTCAACCGTGGTTTGCATCCTGGACCCGCTTAAAACTCACGCTGGGCGCGTGTGCATGCATGCCCAAGATCTCGAGATGAGAATGGAGGAGAAGGGATTATGGCGCGGCCATCCCCCTGGGGGGATGGGGATTTCTCGCTTTCTGTCTCTATGTCTCTCTCTGTCTGTCTGGTGAGCTCACGTGCTCTATAGCAAAAACCTCTCAAAAAAACAAAAAACAAAAACAAACAAAAAAAACCACATAGTTCCCCAGAGTTCAGATAGCCAATAGATCTGTCATCCCTGTCAGTTAGATGGCAGGAGGAGTCACAGATACGAATAGTGTCAGAATCAAGCGGTATAACATTTTCAGTCTTCTACCCTTGATCCTCTCAGTTTTGTGAAACCTCTGTGGAACAATAGCAAGTATTCGGTGAAAGGGTATCATAGCAAAATAAAAATAGATGCCATAACGATGATAACAATATTAGATATTTCATGACTAACTCTGTGACATGAACTTTATAAGTGCTTTTTAATACTGATAGGATTCTAAAATGTAAGATTTCTTAATGTCCTAATTTTACAGGGAAGTAGTCTGAAATTTAGAAAGGGTAAGCAACTTGTCTAAGATCTCTCCTCAAAACCAGACCTGTCAGATTCTAGAAGTCATTCACTTCGTCTTTGCAGATCCTTTAAAGTCAGTCTGCAGCCCTATGGCTTTTAGCATATGAATGTACAAAGATATGTAGTAGAAATACACTTTAACGTGTAAGATAGTCTTCCACATGGGGTTGTTATTGCATGTAGTATATTATTCAAAATAGTAATATAAATATATGTGAAATGGCTTTTAAATGATTAAAAATAGTAATATAAATATATGTTAAATGGCTTTTAAATTATTAAAAATAGTAATATAAATATATGTGAAATGGCTTTTAAAAGTGCTGTTAAAATAGTTAAATAAGTTGAAACTACAGAATTACAGTAAAATTTGAACTGAATTTAGTTAAAAATCCTACCATACATGTGTATGTAATGTGGCAATGTGGTGAAGTATAGGGTAGGCACATCTATTTTATAGTTTTTCATACCAAATTATTAAAAAATTTAATGAGGATTAAAGTTGTGGGGGGAGATTTTCATTTTTATTTCTACACTTTTGATTTATGTATGTATATATTTACCTGTTTATTTATCTCCTTTATTCTCATTTCAGATTTTTTATTTTCTCTTAGGTCACATCATAGTTTGCCTTGTATTAAATTTACTAAAATATCCATATTAGCCACCTGTGAAAGTGAAATATTTTCATGTTTACTTCTTTCCTTTACAATCATATTGTTAATATTACTTTAGTGGATATTCTATAACATTGGAAAAATTAATAACATTTTATTTTTGTGAAATTTTTCAACACCTTCAGCTTTTCTTTATGTTAATATCATGATTTGTTGTTAAGGAGTCACCTCTACTCTGTCAAATTGCCAACTTTGTGGTTTACAAACCACTTCTCAATATATTGTACTTTCCATGTTGTAATTTCTATGTAATAACTCCATTTGTTTCCTCTGTTCTTTCATATAAACACATTTCAAGAGTCTTAATGGGAGCTGACAGTCCAAACAAAGTATCTTAGACAGGAAGGCATTTGCGATTACTTCATAAAATAGTGCCAAAATGTTGCCATATACAGTAATTCATATGACAAACTCAATAAAATCTTCTCAGAGGAACACAAATATTTATAGTAAAGTTCTGTATAAATCAGTCCAGGTGGCTTCTTTTTACATAAGCAGACAAGATTATTTTCGAAGTGATAGAAACAGGGCAAGGAGAGAGAAAATCCAAACTGATTTGCAACAGGAATTTCCTCAGTAGTCAGGAAGGGAGTTTTGCTTTGTCATAAGTGACTAGTCCACTTTTGAGAAAATGAATCATCTCTCTTTGAAATGAGAGATAAGTGGGGGGACGAGCTGTTTAAAAATTACTTTACAACTATTTCCTTTTGAGCTATGACTTCTTACACTGGAATGTGATCCAGAATAGCTTCTCTTTGAGTTCAACATTTGTCTTAAGCATTTTATTGTCTCCCTTCTCTTTCAAACCATCTCACTTTTTCCCTCTTCCTAAAACAGATTTACACTGACTGGGCCAACCACTACCTAGCAAAATCAGGCCACAAGCGGCTGATCAAGGACTTGCAACAAGACATTGCAGATGGAGTACTGCTAGCAGAAATCATCCAGATCATTGGTAAGAACTACCCTCTGAACGAAAGCATGAAAGTCTCTGCTCCCACCCCTTTTGGTAAAATACAATTGAAACTGAATACATTCTGAATCAGCCGGTGTGTCTCTGAAATTAATGTGGTTCTCCACTGACTCAATTAAAGATGTTTACGTGAGGCTGTTTGAAAAAGACGGCTTGGCCATACTTTGAAATAGCTAGAACTGTATCTTTACATACACCGAATTGTCAGAAATGAATGCTTCGTTAGACCATATGTCTCCCATGTGTGCATTTCGTTAGCTGGAGCAACTCATACACTCAGATTCCTTGAAACTGTATCCTGATCCAGCAGGGACAATTGTGAAAGGTTTCATGTCAGCAGTCATTTGGCACAGGCTAAAGAATTAGCAGCAACTTCCTTCTCATTCACTTTTTTTTTTTTTTTTTTGATGCCTGATTTGTGCATATGAACTTGGCTGCTGCTGACAAGTGTGTCCTCTGGTGTACTGATTGCTTGGGAAAGCAAGTAACTGTGGCGGCAGCACTTTTGCTTGGTGCCTTTGTTTTTATTTTTTGTTTTTAAAGTCTTCTTTTTTGTGTTTCACTCCATGGCTTAAGCATGTCGTTCTTTTTTTCTCTCTTTTATTTTGTTTCTTGGCTTTAGCAAATGAAAAAGTTGAAGATATCAATGGATGCCCTAGAAGTCAGTCTCAGATGGTAAGAATCATATTTACTTTCAATATATAATGCCTCTCTTCACTTCCAGAATTAACTGCACTTGTAAATGGATGAGAAATTTGTTCTGCATGTTTGCCTGCTTGTTTAAGAACCATTTAATCCCATTCTGTCATCTTTATTTCAGTGAGTATGATTTATGCACGTGATAACCTCAGTACAGTTGAATAAATACAGCTCCTGTATGATATATACTTATATTTCCAGGTGTTTTATTAGATTCTAGACTTTTTGTGTGTGTTCCAATAGTCTGAATAATTTAATACTGGTCTTGATGGCAGTAAATCTCATTTACAATTTTAAGTGGAGCTTCTATCTGAACAACTGGTTAGAATAATAGAACTTGCCATATGCTATAAAAATACAAAGATATATCAACTTGTCATGTGCTATCAAAATACATAAACAGTATTTTTTTTTATTCATAACAAAGTCCGGTGTAAACACATCGACTCTTCAGCACTTTGGAAAATAGTTCTAAAGGCAAGCTGCTGTAAGTGTTAAGCAGTAACTGATTTTGAGCTGTGATTCATATCCTGTTCCAGAATGCCCTCTCTCTGGAGGTCTGTCTCTCCTCCAGCCATCTCTTATTTTTACTAACTAGTACAGCTTAAGGTTTTATGATAAAAAATCACAGATGGATACGTTGCTAAAATGGAAAATGCTTTCTTAATTAAAAAGACACAGTTTAATTTTCTAGGGCATCCTGAAATACAAAATGCTTTAACGAAGGTTACATCAGGCAGATGTAATTAGGAATAACAGCCAAAAATGCACGAGATCAGGCTTTCCTCAAAAGTCTTCTTAGCACTGAAAAGGCATTCTCAATAAACCTAATGAGTTCTTAGCTGTCAGAAACTTGAAGAATGAAAAACAATATGAGCTTTTTAAATCTGTTGACCTCCTTTCCTTAGTGTCAGAAAACTGAAATCCAAAATAATAAAAGGGATTTCTTTTTGAAAAATAATTAGCATGTTTATGTGTGTTTAATAAGCACTCCCAGGACCTATTATAATGTCATGAACTCTGTGTACCTATTTTGTAAAAAAAAAATCACTGTAAAAGTAAGGTTCTCATAAAATGCTTCAGTTCTGAGGGAACTTTCTGACCAAATTACTCTGGCAATTCATTAGATTTGTTTTCTGAAGTTGTACTGAGAGCTAGCTGACTTAGCATATGTTCAGATCCGGCTATCATAGCTGTGTAATGTGGGGCAAAATGTGTAACTTTCCTAAGCCTTGGCTTTCTCATCTATGAAATGAACCCTAATTGGGATGTGAAAATGAGATATGTATGTGAACAGTCTTCATTAACTAAACTGATATCTGGATGCTGAATAGTATTGCTGCAGACTTTATAATGAACACATGCATGGATTAAGACCTACTAAGAGATCTTTAGAGCTTCATATTAAAAACCTCTATAATCCATGAAGGCCATATATTGTATTTCTTAAATTCAACAATTGTTTTTGCTTTCATTAGTTTAACCGTAAGGAGGTATCAAATACTGGAAAATATTTTAAGCCTAAAAATTCTAGCTCTGCTATCATTTCAATTTGACTGTGATTATAGAAAATCTGATCAGTAGGCAAGTTTAGTGACATAAAAATAAAAACTCCAAAGTTCATAACTATAGATAGAGATGTTGTCCTTAGGTACTTATCAGAAACCTCTATTCCTAGAGATTCTACATATTCTTCATCCTTGGAAATACTCTCATGAGTATCAAAGTATTTTTTTTTTTTACTTCTTTTTTCTAAAGAATTATTTATTTAATTGTATTTATTAGTAATATTTTTAATATGCTATAGGGCACATGTGCTCACCAGAGAGAGAGAGGGAGAGAACATGAAAAATAAGTCACCAGGTCCGGGACTTGAACCACCTTCAGCCATATGAGAGGCCAGAACCTTAAACACCATGCCACCTGCCAGTCCTATTTACTTCTTATTCTATCAGCCCCAACATATCATGTCACAGGTAGTATGCATGCTGTGTTCAAATTTCTGCTTCTGATTAAAAAAAAAATAAAGATTGAGAAATGCAAATGCTATGAAAAACAGAGTGTTTCCAGCCAAAGAATATTAGTCAGAATCATATTAAATTTGGAGTAAGAATGACTTAGATCTTCATTTTATTTTGATGTGGTTAAATTTTGAATCTGAAGTTGGACTGCCTTCAGAATGTTGGTTCAGAAGAATACATATGAAATAAATATAACACTTAGTTAAATTATTTTTGCTTCTGTCCTTAAGACTTTGCATAGGCGCTATGTTATAATGAATACAAATTCCAGACTCAAGACATTAATTGCGACAAGAAAGTAAAGAGCAGTATGCTAGCATGACTAGACTTAACAGATTTTATGTATTTACTCCAAACCGGACACTGCCTGCCTCTTTATTACATAATTCCAGGAGGTGCTCCATTAGTAGCAGTGAATGCCAACCTTACTCTAAATCTGTTTGATACCCTCTTTTATTATATCTGATTTTTGGTGACCTTTGGGTTTTGTTTGTTTTTAATAACAAAAACAGATCTGCTTGTATTTCTAATAATAAATTCTGAACTTAATTTCAGAATTAATAACTTTTATTGGGGACCAGCAGTTGGTGTAATGGCTATGTTGCTGGACTCCCATGTAGTCGACTGCGGTTCGAGTCCTGGACCCGATGACTTAAACTCATGCCAGGCATGTGTGCATGCGTGCCCAAGATCTTGAGAGGAGAATGGAGGAGAAGGGATTGTGGCATGGCCATCCCCCCTGGGGGGATGATTTCTGGCTTTCTGTCTCTCTGTCTCTCTCTGGCTTTCTGGCAAATGCACACACCCTATAGCAAAAACCTTTCCAAATAAATAAATACATAAATAAATAATCTTTATTGAGTCCTGAAGAGTAGAAGTTCTTTTTGTGGTATTGCTGAATTTTCATAGCAACCAGGTGATTCACATTTAACAAATACTAGCTGAGCATGTAAGGTAGCAGGAGTAAGGATACCTTAATGAACTAAACTTAAGGTTCAGAGGAGCACATATTTAAATAAATAATGAAAATGTTTGTATAGGCAAGAACAAAAGTACTGAAAGGAAGTGAGCTTGATGTGTTCCAGAAAGAGAAGACTTCTGTGGTTTGATTACAATGAAAGGCAAAGATGAAAACACGTAGGGCTAAATTAAGGAATTTGTATGGTATTCTAAATCAGTCAAGGAGCTTTTGAAAGATCTTTAAAGCTTTGCTATGGCATGCTTTGATATAAATATTTTAAAAATATCACTCTATGTAGTTTCTGGGTATTACACAGTTAGCATTGGTGTCCTGTTGAATATGAGAGGTAAAGATGGTAGGAAATTTAAAATGGCCCTCAAGTTTTTTTGCCTGAATGAGTAAGTGGTTACATTAGATAAGCAGAAAATAAGCTAAAAAGAGGTGGAAGGGAGAAGATACTTAATTAATATTTTGACATGTAAAATTTAATATGTTTATCAAAATGTCAAGTAGGAAGTAACTTTAGACAATTCGACAGGTGTTTGCGAAGATCAGAGATGTGTATTGGGTAGGATCTATCTAGCCCAAAAGTAATAGTTAAAAGCCATGGACAGGGATGAAATCCTATAGATGCGTAAGGTCAGAGGGAAAGAATCCTGGGTTAATCACAGTGGAGAATGTCAGCATTGAGGTGATAGGTAGAGGTGTAGGTGTCAGAAAAGGGAAAGGGGTGAGAGAGTGAGACCATTACCAAATTAGTGGACCACAGCTGTGGATTGTTCATCCTTAGGGTGGTTTTAGTAGCTGAAGCTTTGGTTACTGGACTAATCCATCGAGTTAGACAAAGTGAGCTGAGCAGATTGTGGCAGATATTGTCAAATGCTAGTTAGCCATCTATTAATAGTGGGTGTACTGGAATGAGGAAGTTAGTCCTGGTAATTAGGCATAAATTGATGTGAGCAGCTTCTATAAAGTGATATTGTGTTAAGGCATAGCTGAGAAGTTCAGATATCCAGTGAATCATGAATAGTCTATCTAGGAGTGTCCTGTTGATGGGAAGTAGAAAAAAAATACAGTTTGAAAAGGTAGAGTTGAGGTGAGTTTTTATAAAAGGGAAGACAAAATAGGAGAGAGGAAGACCCAAGAAAATGGAGAAATAATTGATAATGCCAAATATTAAAGGAAGTAAAAGAGGAACAAATTCAAACTCAGTGTAGAATACTTAATATTGGAAAAGAGTGGGGATACATTTGCCTTATCATAGGTGAATATGATTAGGTAAATATGAAAGATGTAGATACTGAAAATATGAATGGTATAACTTAGCCATATTCTACTCCTTTTAAATAGAAACTGAAGTCATTTAAGTCAAAATAACAACTTCAGAATTTTAGATAATACTAAGTTATTCTTTTCCATGATTCTCCAATAATTATCTTATAATAAAAAATGCAACATATAGTACCATGCCTTCTAGAAGATAAAGAAAATTCAAATTAAATGTATATATACATATAAGTGTGTTTATATGTGTGTATGTGTGTATATGTGTGTGTGTATATATATATATGTGTGTGTATATATATATATAAACAATAATTATTTATAATAACATGGCCCAAAGAATATATATTTAAGAAAAATATAACCTTTCCCTTTTAGTAATTTATTAGTATAATTATTAAGATATTGTCATGGTTATGTTTCTTTAATGAGCTGGAGACTATTCATCCTGAAAAAGACCACTTGGTTTGTAGGAGATTATTCAGCACTATATTTAACCTCATCTAAAGATGAAGTTACTAATATGGATGGCACCTGTTGAATAATTTCTAGGTGGGTGGTATCAGGACTCAAAATATATGTGCATGCCACAACTTTGGTGAGCTTACACGAAGAAATTAGTAAACTATAAATACCAGGAATGTCCAGAAGGCCCAACAGATTAAAAATAGCAAAAAAGAAAAAAAAATGCCCATCATTTATTTGAAATA